AAATGTCAACAATCATGCTAAACAAGTCGCAGTACAACCTGAAAATGCATCGGAGAGATATGGATTAACATCACCTAGGTAAAAATCACGCGGAAACCACCCGATAGTGTCGTATCTCGGAAGCTAAGCAGAATTTTAATCTAGATGGTGCGTTTCATGGGTGACCCCCAACATCCATATAAATAGGCGTTTGTAGGCTGTTGCGGGGCATCGAGGTCGCCATCTCCTGATTTTCCAGGGTATTGCAGCATAGTTAATTATATATTAATTCCCATCTGTATTCCATCTGTACAGGTGTAAAGTGTTGCCCCCCTCAGACATATGGGTTTTCTCCAGGGACTCTGGTTTCCTCCCACATGTAGAAATGCTCATGAATGGAGTTGGAAAAACTCCCCAATATAAAACCACAGAGCTTGGGCAATTGCTGGGGCAGGTTCTGACTGCCTTCCCACTTGTCTGTGCTTCTAGATTTGAAGCTTTCGTGACTGCAAGGATCCATACTCTTTGGTTCTATTCGGTAAAGTCACGTAGGTAAAAAATAAAACAACAAAAAATCACGACGTTTCGGCCACAACACAAGTGGCCTTCATCAGGTGAAGGGACCGTACTGTCCAGAGGACAGCGTTGCTTTTCCGCACCTCTGATTCTTTGAATCTAGTGAAAACTCTGCGTGTTATAAATGTATAATTTAACATATATATAAAGCCCCTCATCCTTTGTAACATGGTGTACATCAGAACTTCCCTCTGTCTCCCACCCTGTGCTAAGAGTCTGATAATGCGACTTTAAAATACAGCATTGTACAGCGGTTACCTGACTCCTGAAGATAGTATTTCACCAAAGAAGAAGTCCCTTCTGGAACAATGAAGTGCCGAATGTTCTCTTCATACTCCTTCATCCCGTCGACTTGTGATTGAAGGGGATATAGTATTCCCCTATCTAGGAGCTCCTCGTAAAACCTACAAAGAAAAGCACATGCTTTGATTATACATTTGAACCAGATATTTAAAGTGTACATTTTAATAATAATAATTCGCAATCTTTGCATGTACGGACGCTCACTTAAATGTATCATCAATTCAAAGCACCTTGCATCACAAAGGGTAACTGTGCCTGTGTGACGCAAGGCGAACTCAGCACCTGGCTTGCAAGTGAACATTAGTCTTCCATTAGGGCAATGTTGGTACGTGTAATCCCAATTGAGTAATACATTTTTTCGGATATTTTGGACTGTGACGCTGGCACACAATTGCCTACTCCGCTATAATGACATCAGAGGAGCTTTAACGTCGACTGTGACGCACATTATGCATAATATTGAATGATGAATACACCCGCAGGATTAACCATGGTAGGCAACCAGATTCGAACCGCGAACATTTGCAAGAAGTGGCGAACACTCTACCGCTTGGCAATGTCACTGCCTACATTTTACAAACAAAACTTTATCAATGCACATATTAGCATCCACATGCAAAACTAACATCATAAATCTTGCATCAATGGTATGCTCTTATTTATTAATGTTCTCAACGCAGCATTTATAAATATGTAGTGGAATAAATAGGCGCATGGGGGTAATTGGTGAGTTTGCGCGGGAGCAGGACAGTAGGGGGTCATATTGGGATGAGGAGGTAACGATTGGGCCAATTAAGCGGGGTGAGCCAAGGACGGCTGTGATTGGCTGGTGTGGTTGTCAGGGCTGGAGTGTGATTGGCTGGTGTGGTTGTCAGGGCTGGAGTGGCGTCTTGAAGTCTGGCGAGGTAACAGGCGCACGGGCACGCGGAGCGCCATTAGGACGCAGGTTAATTAATTGGGGTGTAATGAGAGCGGGGATAAATTGGGGAGACGTGAGGAGAAACGGGGAGTTGGAGTCGGGGGCTGGACGAGGCAGGATGTGGAGCAGCTGAAGTGGAGAGAGCACAGTGATAGTGGAGAGCGGAGAGCAGAGACGAAGCAGTTAGCAGTGGAGAGAGCACAGTGATAGCGGAGAGCGGAGAACAGAGACGAAGCAATTAGCAGTGGAGAGAGCACAGTGATAGCGGAGAGCAGAGACGAAGCAGTTAGCAGTGGAGAGAGCACAGTGATAGTGGAGAGCGGAGAGCAGAGACGAAGCAGTTAGCAGTGGAGAGAGCACGGTGATAGCAGAGAGCGGGGAGCAGGGACAAAGCAGTTAGCAGTGGAGAGAGCACGGTGATAGCGGAGAGCGGGGAGCAGGGACGAAGCAGCCAGCAGTAGAGAGAGCACGGTGATAGCGGAGAGCGAAGAGCAGAGACGAAGCAGTTAGCAGTGGAGAGAGCACGGTGATAGCGGAGAGCGGGGAGCAGGGACGAAGCAGCCAGCAGTAGAGAGAGCACGGTGATAGCGGAGAGCGGAGAGCAGAGACGAAGCAGTTAGCAGTGGAGAGAGCACGGTGATAGCGGAGAGCGGATAGCAGAGACGAAGCAGCCAGCAGTACAGAGAGCACGGTGATAGCAGAGAGCGGAGAGCAGAGACGAAGCAGTTAGCAGTGGAGAGAGCACGGTGAAAGCGGAGAGCGGAGAGCAGAGACGAAGCAACCAGCAGTGGAGAGAGCACAGAGACATCGGAGCTGACGGAGAAGCGGAGATTGGAGAGACAAAGGCGGCGAGCGAGTCGAGTGAGGCACGGCGAGCGAGCTGTGACAACAAGGGAACTGTGGAGCATTGAGGACATGTGGAGAACTGTAAATAAAGTGGTGTTGGAAGAAAGACAAAAGTTGTCCGAGTGAAATGAACCACTACAAATATATTCCGCATATAACATGAATGGAAAAATAGAAATCTGATGTATAATCGTCTAACCAATGTGCAGTGCAGAGTAGAGAACGTTCTGTATATATCCACGATGCTATCACTCCCAGTGTTTTGAAATTAGATTAATCAAATTTGGAGACTAAATTAGGGAACTATTGAAATATATAACGCATAGGCTTGAAATATCATCTAACGCGTGGGATAAAAACATCTGCAATAGCGCATTTCAGAGTAATAAAAGTATTCTACAATACAGTATGTCTAAAGTTTGTAAAGCATCTGGACACAGTGGCATGACCCTCACCCATGGCCTTGCCCATGTCTTGTATAACTGGAGACTAAATTCTACCGGCAAGGGCAAAACAATTGGTTTGTGAACCGAATCGTACCAATTCATAAAACTAACTGTGGACGTAAATGGTTACGATTTTCTCAGTTTTTTTATTATTTTACACGTAAAACCATAAAATAAATCATTACTCCATCGCATAATCGTCAAAGCGATTTCCTGCTCAAATGAGCAATTGTGGTGGTGCTCACCGTTTAATTACAGCGCTGAGCCAGTGGTGGAAATTCCACATTCCGGTTGCAGGGGCAAATGCTATCCATAGGACAACCACTGGTGACTTACCCACAACGTGGTATTCACATCATTGACCCCAGAGGGATCATGGGCTGACCAGGATATGAACTCGAAATCTTACTTTCGAAAGCCGCTCACTATATCACTGGGCCAGTGTGATGGTCGCTGTGATGTGGTGTGAAGGAATGGCATACTTCTCATGTTCCTGCCAATATGCTGGTGTGGCAGAAATGTATTGTGCGCCAAGGTCAGCTGAACAGGATTCATTGTTGGGGCTTCTACTTGTGCTCATTCTTCCACCTGCAAACCAAAACGTTCAAGTGTAGAGTATGGCGTTTAAGCGTGTTTGTACTTTCAGTATAAATAAAAAAAATACTTCTGCGAAGTTCAACTGTAGTTCACTCAAAATCACTGTCACTTTATGGTTTATATCGCTCGAGCTGTTACACAAGACGCAATTAAATAATGCAATAAAGTACAGACGTGATGACGTCCATAACCACGATGCAGTCAATCCTTCCTAAAGTGTTTTGTAAAACAACTAAAACATCACACCTGTCAACCCTGTATCAGTGACTACCTTATTAGAGACCAATTCAGACCTTATTGGTCGCCCCGTACCCTTATAAATCTCAAAGTTCATCCTACAAAGTTCCATCACAAGGGATAAACACAACACAAATAAAAAAACAGTTTTTAATCTGCCCGTATTGAAACGGCTGTACGCCGTATGGACCTGGATATTTTTCATTTTTGTCTTCGTTGCTTCATGACAGTCAGCAAATGAAATACAGGTACTTAAACATAAGCAACGATAATCACGATATGTATGTTTTTTTCTCTCTAAAAGGAACAATACTTTTAATATGCTTGGTTCTTTCGGTAAAGTCACGTAGAAGGGAAACAATAAAATAGTAAAAATATAAGATATAGAAAATATAATCGACAATACTTGTATTGTGAACGCCATCCATCGTGTTGGGCGGCATGTGGTCTCCATAGAAACGGGAGGGGGAATGTGGTCCCCATGGAGACGATAGGGCAAATGTGTTCGCCGTTGAAACGGAAGGGGTTATGTGGTCCCTATGGAGACGGGAGGGCGAATGTGGTCTCCATGGAGACGGGTGGGTTGAGGGCTGCGGTCTCCATGGAGACGGAAGGGGTCAAGTGGCCGCCATGGAGATGGGAGGGCGAATGTGGTCTCCATGGAGACGGGAGGGGTGGGGGCTGCGGTCTCCATGGAGACGGGAGAGTGACCCCCATGCACACACCTGGACCCCGGGCCTTGTCCCACAGGCGCACCGCGCAGCCGCTCCCTCGCCTCGCGAGCAGCGCCGCGATAATGGCTCCCACAGGCCCCGCGCCTATCACGAGAACCCGCGCCGCCATCGCCACCAAGCACCACCACCTCCCACTCAGCCCGGGGTAGCAAGAGCCAGCGGAGTCGCGAGCCGCCACGCCCCTAAAAGCCCTTCACGAGCAGCGTGCGAAGGGTCGCGTTGGACCGCTCTGTCGGCGCGCCGCCGGCTTTTCTCACCCAACATGGACGGCTCCGCACCGCGCCCTCGTTCACTCCGCACGGGCGCTTTCCCCACGCAACATGGCCGCGTCGGGGCGGGGGACTCTCCCCCCCCCCACCCCGCGAGTGTCACGTGAGAACGCGGAAGCGGCACGGATTGTGGGAGCGCGCGGAGAGGGAAGGCGACGAGGAGAGACAGACGAGAGAGGGACGAGGAGAGACAGACGAGGTGAGGGAGACGAGGTGAGAGAGACGAGGTGAGACAGACGAGGAGAGACAGACGAGGTGAGACAGACGAGAGAGGGACGAGGTGAGACAGACGAGAGAGGGACGAGGAGAGAGGGACGAGGTGAAAGGGACGAGAGAGAGACGAGGAGAGAGGGACGAGGAGAGAGAGACGAGGTGAGAGGGACGAGGTGAGACAGACGAGGTGAGACAGACGAGGAGAGACAGACGAGGTGAGACAGACGAGGAGAGAGAGACGAGGAGAGAGGGACGAGGAGAGAGGGACGAGGAGAGACGGACGAGGTGAGAGGGACGAGGTGAGAGAGACGAGGAGAGAGGGACGAGGTGAAAGGGACGAGAGAGAGACGAGGAGAGAGGGACAAAGAGAGACAGACGACGTGAAAGGGACGAGGTGAGAGGGACGAGGAGAGAGGGACGAGGTGAGAGGGACGAGGAGAGAGGGACGAGGTGAAAGGGACGAGGAGAGAGGGACGAGGTGAGAGGGACGAGGAGAGAGGGACGAGGTGAGAGGGACGCGGAGAGAGGGACGAGGTGAGACAGACGAGGTGAGAGACGAGGTGAGAGGGACGAGGTGAGACAGACGACAGAGGGACGAGGAGAGAGGGACGAGGTGAAAGGGACGAGAGATGGACGAGGTGAGAGAGACGAGGAGAGAGGGACGAGGAGAGACAGACGAGAGAGGGACGAGGTGAAAGGGACGAGGTGAGACAGACGAGAGAGGGACGAGGAGAGAGGGACGAGGTGAAAGGGACGAGGTGAGACAGACGAGAGAGGGACGAGGTGAGGGGGACGAGGTGAGAGGGACGAGGTGAGACAGACGAGAGAGGGACGAGGTGAGGCAGACGAGAGAGGGACGAGGTGAGACAGACGAGAGAGGGACGAGGTGAGACAGACGAGAGAGGGACGAGGAGAGACAGACGAGAGAGGGACGAGGAGAGAGGGACGAGGTGAAAGGGACGAGGTGAGAGAGACGAGGTGAGAGGGACGAGGAGAGAGGGACGAGGTGAGAGAGACGAGAGAGGGACGAGGTGAAAGGGACGAGAGAGGGACGAGGTGAGAGGGACGAGGTGAAAGGGACGAGGTGAGACAGACGAGAGAGGGACGAGGTGAAAGGGACGAGGTGAGAGGGACGAGGTGAGAGGGACGAGGAGACAGGGACGAGGTGAGACAGACAAGATAGGGACGAGGTGAGAGGGACGAGAGAGGGACGAGGTGAGAGGGACGAGAGAGGGACGAGGAGAGACAGACGAGAGAGGGACGAGGTGATTGAGAGGGACGAGGTGATAGAGACGAAGTGAGAGAGGTTAAAGACGAGGTGAGAGCGTTGTGACGAGGTGAGAGGTGTACTGTGAGGGATGGGGCGACGAGAAGATTGACGGATCGGGTAGACAAAGTAAGAGGTGTGTGATGATTAGTGATGAGGTGAAATGTAATTTTCATCACGCCCCATTGTGTAGAGCGCAGTCTCCGACTCGTGTTATCCACGATATCTCTGGTCTCTCCGTTTATGTGCTCTGAAGGGCAATTGGCCGAAACGTCGCCTGTTTTATATGTTTTTCTGTTTATAAAGTCCACGGTGTTTTGACGAATGTGTTAAATGTATGTTTGTGGTTGTAACGCAGCAGCGCATCACTAAATAATGTGATGATGTGAGAGAAGAGTTGATTGATCTCAATGGCAGGGTTTTGTGCATTTCTATATTTGTGCCAGGATTTATGGTAGGGGTCAGGGATGAGTTATGGGGGTCAGGGATGAGTTATGGGGGTCAGGGATGAGTTATGGGGGTCAGGGGTGAGTTATGGGGGTCAGGGGTGAGTTATGGGGGTCAGGGGTGAGTTATGGGGGTCAGGGGTGAGTTATGGGAGTGAAGAGTCATGAGGGTGAGGTATGGGGGTCAGGGGTGAGGAGTAATTTACGTGTCTTCTCGGCCACAGTTATACCCTTCATTCTCTATGCTTGCGAAACGTGGAGCCTTCTAAAGGAACATCTGCGTCGGCTTGAAACATTCAGGCTCGCCTGCTTACGATCCATCCTGGGTTTAACCAGACTGGATTGTGTAAGCAGTGCATCGGGGCGCCGTGGTTGCGAGATGTTAAAGTCCCCACTTGGTCTTGGTTCTTTAGGTAAAGTCACGTAGAAGGGAAATGATAAAAATAATAAAATACTTATGTTTTATTTTATTATTTCCCTTCGACGTAACTTTACCGAAAGAACCAATAATATTAATCCCTGCAGTCACGAAAGCTTTAAATCGAAATTTCCTCATTTGCTATGCAGGAGGTGGTCGTGTGTTCGATTCAGACCCTGACGCCTCTATATTTGGAGTTTGCATGTTCTTTCTCCCCCTCCACATTTAGAAACATGCGTGTGGAGTATTTGGTTTCTATGAATATCCACATGATAAGCCACTTATTTGAGCTATCATTTGTGGCCAGACCGCTTCTGGAAAGAGCTGTATAGCTCAGCGGGCCTTACCTGGTAAGATAAAATGTTTTTTTTTATAGACCCTTGAAAGATCTCGACTCAATTCCATCAGCGAATTCCACCGGCAAGTGAGGCTGCGTTGGCTGGGTCATGTAGCCCGCATGCCACCGCATGCCGGATAGATGGGACTTATCTGGCGCGGAACGGGCTATAAAAGAGATGGACTGATGTGGAGTTGATTGGACTTGCCGATGTCTGGTACCAGCAGTGTCAAGATCGACCTCTAGAGGCAGTTTGTGAAGGACGCTGCTGGGGAGTTGGAGGCAATCACCCCCCAGCAACAACGGAGGGCAGAGGAGCGACGCTCACAACAACGAGAAGAGCGACGGGCGGCTATAATGCAGAGAGTTGGCACATTGGGGAACACAGTTGGTGCATCTACCAGTCATTTCAGCAAGTCAACCCATGGCACCTAGGTCTGTTCCATGACCTCCTGCTAGTGGGCCTTCCACGCATTACGTGGCCTCAAAGTGCACCTAGCATGGCACAATTGCCGTGGTGACATCACTGCCACTTAGTAGTGAACTGCAGTTGTTATGGAAGTGAGGTATGGGGGTGAGGAGTGATTTACGGGGGTGAGGGGTGAGTTAGGGGGTGAGGAGTGTCATGAGGGTAAAGGGGTGCGTTGTAGGCATGAGATTTTGTGATCTTATAGAGGTTCACCTGAACACTCCGCTTTATCCAGCTCCCACAGAGTAGGTCGGTCGGGAGCCATGTAACTGGTGTTTCATAACGGGTATGTCATTATCATCGCCTTGCCAGATCGGGCGACCTGCCTTGACCTTGCGTAATTCATTTTGCACTGTTGTGAAAGAGCTTGCTGAAAAATAAATAATCAATCTCCTTTTCTGTCATCCTTTTTCACGCAAATATTTTATTTTACCACTTAAGGCCTGGCCACAAATATGATAGCTCAAGGAAGTGGCTTATGTGACAATTTATAGCAGCCAAATACTACTCTAAACGCATGTTTCTTAACATGGAGAGAAAAACCAGAGCACCTGGAGAAAAATCCTCATGACCACAGGGAGAACATGCAAACTCCAAATATACAGGCGTCAGGGTTATTATCGAACCTACGATCTGGTAGTGCATAATTTCAGCAGCATTACTTAAAATTAAGCAAAACGCTTGTTTTTTTAAAATGTGGAAATACACATTTGTGAAGGAGGCCGATTGCAAATAAATTACGTCGTTTAAGAGGAGGCTATGCCTCACTCCGTGCAGGCACAAGCCAGGAAATTCCAATAAGCTCAGCTTATTGGAAAGTTGTGGTTGTCTCTCTCTATCAACCCCCTCCTCTGTTCCGAGCATAGATGGACTCGTACATCTGAACAAAGCTCGCCGCTTTCCGTGGTGCTAACGTTAAAGAAAAAAACGCCACTTTTTTCGACATAGTGTAATGACTTATTGTTAGTAGCTAAGCTTATTCGAGAGTATATTGAGTTTATTGATTATATTGATGTAAATTTTGATTTAAAGCTTTCGTGACTGCAGTAATTCATATTCTTAGTTTTTTCGGTAAAGTCACGTTGAATGTAGTTTATATTTTCGTTTTTTTATCAGTTTACTATATGGTAGTCATTATACAGTGAGGGGAAAAAGTATTTGATCCCCTGCTGATTTTTTTACATTTGCCGACTGACAAAGAAATGATCAGTCTATAATTTTAATGGTAGGTTTATTTTAACAGTGAGAGACAGAATAACAACAACAAAATCCAGAAAAACGCATGTCAAAAATGTTATAAATTGATTTGCATTTTAATGAGGGAATAAGTATTTGACCCCCTCTAAAATCAGAAAGATTTCTGGCTCCCAGGTGTCTTTTATACAGGTAATGAGCTGAGATTAGGAGCACACTCTTAAAGGGAGTGCTCCTAATCTCAGCTTGTTACCTGTATAAAAGGCACCTGTCCACAGAAGCAATCAATCAATCAGATTCCAAACTCTCCACCATGGCCAAGACCAAAGAGCTCTCCAAGGATGTCAGGGACAAGATTGTAGACCTACACAATGCTGGAATGGGCTACAAGACCATTGCCAAGCAGCTTGGTGAGAAGGTGATAACAGTTGGTGCGATCATTCGCAAATGGAAGAAACACAAAAGAACTGTCAATCTCCCTCGGCCTGGGGCTTCATGCAAGATCTCACCTCGTGGAGTTGCAATGATCATGAGAACGGTGAGGAATCCGCCCAGAACTACACGGGAGGATCTTGTCAATGATCTCAAGGCAGCTGGGATCATAGTCACCAAGAAAGCAATTGGTAACACACTACGCCGTGAAGGACTAAAATCCTGCAGCGCCCGCAAGGTCCCCCTGCTCAAGAAAGCACATACACATGCCCGTCTGAAGTTTGCCAATGAACATCTGAATGATTCAGAGGACAACTGGGTGAAAGTGTTGTGGTCAGATGAGACCAAAATAGAGCTCTTTGGCATCAACTCAACTCGCCGTGTTTGGAGGAGGAGGAATGCTGCCTATGACCCCAAGAACACCATCCCCACCGTAAAACATGGAGGTGGAAACATTATGCTTTAGGGGTGTTTTTCTGCTAAGGGGACAGGACAACTTCACCGCATCAAAGGGACGATGGACGGGGCCATGTACCGTCAAATCTTGGGTGAGAACCTCCTTCCCTCAGCCAGGGCATTGAAAATGGGTCGTGGATAGGTATTCCAGCATGACAATGACCCAAAACACACGGCCAAGGCAACAAAGGAGTGGCTCAAGAAGAAGCACATTAACGTCCTGGAGTGGCCTAGCCAGTCTTCAGACCTTAATCCCATAGAAAATCTGTGGAGGGAGCTGAAGGTTCGAGTTGCCAAACGTCAGCCTCGAAACCTTCATGACTTGGAGAAGATCTGCAAAGAGGAGTGGGACAAAATCCCTCCTGAGATGTGTGCAAACCTGGAAGCCAACTACAAGAAACGTCTGACCTCTGTGATTGCCAACAAGGGTTTTGCCACCAAGTACTAAGTCATGTTTTGCAGAGGGGTCAAATACTTATTTCCCTCGTGAAAATGCAAATCAATTTATAACATTTTTGACATGCGTTTTTCTGGATTTTGTTGTTGTTATTCTGTCTCTCACTGTTCAAATAAACCTACCATTAAAATTATAGACTAATCATTTCTTTGTCAGTGGGCAAATGTACAAAATCAGCAGGGGATCAAATACTTTTTTCCCTCACTGTATAGTGTAGTGTATACCCAGTTACTTAATGTTAACAGCTCAGCTTATTGGAGAGTATATTGAGTACATTGATTATATTGATGTAGTTTATATTTCGTTTTTTTCACATCGGTTTATTGTATGGTAGTAGGGTATGCGTAGTTCTTTAGAAACTCCCATTTTTTGTTTTCCACATAATGCACGAGCTTGATACGTGGTGGTTTGGGCTGTTGCAGTTCTTTATTATTAAAATTTTTCTCCCTTTATTACTGCTAATCCTACATAAAACACTAGCATAATGACTTTCAGACCCCCCACCGCCTACACATTCCACAAGAAGTGACTAATCCCATATCTGCATTTGTAATCAATATGCTAAATTCCTCTGTTGATATGTAAACTCCTTTGTCAAGGCGCTCTCCTCCTCCCACCCAGCTTAAAATACGCTGCCAAGCTTAGCAGTGTTCATTAGGACGCTGTCTTACCGACAGCTGTTTCTTCACCTGAGGACGGCTGCTTGCGTTGTGGCCGAAACGTCATGATAATTTTATGATGTTTTATTTTTATTATTTTATTTTTTCCTTTCTATGTGACTTTACCGAAAGAACCAAGAATATGAATAAGTTGTTAAATGTGTATTGACAAATGTTTGCATTGCTTTGTCAAATTTGCTCACAACTCCATCAAATGGATGCGATGAGTCCAAGGTTTAGTGCTACCACTTGACATCGTTTTAATTGTTTCTTTCGGATTGTCCCACAGTGTTGTGCATGTTGTGGATTTAATTATGCTTTGTTTTGATCAGGAACATGGTGCTGATTGTGGCACTGCATGTCACGTTGTTGCTGTTTGGCGTGGGCTTTGTGTCTGGTCGTATGCTGCCTGATCAGCACAACGACCTACGCAGCGACCCAGAAATTTACATGAACATTGTAAGTGCAGGACATCGCTGTGCGTCACGTTTGTTTATAACCTAAGGTGCTCATGCCAATTGCGCTTCTGTTGTCGACGATCTTGACTTTTGTGTAGAAACAATTCTTGCATGTATGTTTTACGGCAGACTTGGAATTGGTGCACGAGTTGAATTTTAGATGCAGTCATTGCTGAATGCAGGGTAGGTGAAGCAAGATGTGCTGGTCAGTAAGACTTTACATGCATAAATAACAAATGTCAGAATAATAAATGGATATACCAAGTACATGTGTTGTGTCCCGCCTCTGAGGTGACAGTTTCACTCTGCACTCAATACAGATGGACTGACACTTTCATTATAACCGGACAGGATACAATTGGTGTCACCAAAATAATCTTGTGAAAACAACACAATATCCACATCCTATCATATGTGTGCACGACAACGTTATCTACAACTGGTCCTATAGAACCACAATATAAAACACGTAAACCTAATTCTGTCTGCCTCACACCCCATTGTTCCTCTTCCACACTCCCCACATCCTCCTCTCGCAACCTCTCCCTAACACTCTCTATTATACTGTCTTCCCGTGCGATCTTTCTGTCTCCCTCCTCTGTCCATCTCCCACCCTGCGCCCACATTCCACTCTCAAATGCCTGTCTCTCCCAATTGAATCCACATTCCCAGTTGGTCTCCTGCGTCCTCCCCATTGACACCATTCCCATCCCCTAAATTTCAGATTCCTCAAGGCCCTCCCCTATTTGCTCTGCTGCCCCTTATCCTCAATTGGAGGTCACAATAACACAACACCCGATAGCTAACATTGTATGTATGCCCCTGTGTTTTAAACAGTTTTGAAAACAAATATTTTACGCAGATCTGTTTTATAAAAAAACTACACATTGTGACTCCCTTCATAGTTGTGTGTGTTTTCACATCTTGCAATGATTCCGGCTGTGAAATCAGGAAGTGGTTTATTGTGGTCTTGACAAAGAAGCCTGAGCTTGACTTAAATTTAAAATTAATAGGAAGTCATGGGTGACTGGACTGGGATAAACAACTTGATACTCTAGGAAAACCTGGTTTGTCATCTGCAAAAAAGACAGATCTAGATTGTAGTGTTGTGTTAAAATGCTTTCGGTTATGCAGATGTGTTTTTGCCTGTATGCTTGCCGATGCATTTATAGCCTATCACATAAGTCATTTCAACTATTGACTAAATAAGCAGACAATACGCCTCTTTTCCATCTGTCATTCCACCAAACAAATATATTTTTACACATCCCATAAGTCACAAAACCTGGGAGTGCATAAGGCCAGCAGCAATGAATTTTGACTTTAAACTTTAGTGACTGCAGGAATTCATATTCCTTGGTTCCTTCGGTAAAGTAACGTAGATAGAAAAATATTAAATAATAAAGTGAATAAAAATAAAATAAACACTAATGTAGACTGTAGCCTGGTTCTTAATCGGAGTGAGTATGCTGGCAGTCTATAATTTAGACTGTAGCAATGGTTATTAAGCTGGGTGAGTATGCTGGCAGTCTATAATTTAGACTGTAGCCTGGTTATTAAGTTTAGTGAGTGTACTGACAGTCTATAATGTAGACTGTAGCCTTGTTATTAAGCTGGGTGAGTGTACTGACAGTCTATAATGTAGACTGTAGCTAAGTTATTAAGCTGGGTGAGTGCACTGGCAGTCTATAATGTAGACTGTAGCCTGGTTATTAAGCTGGGGGAGTGTACCAAACTTAATAACCAGGCTACAGTCTAAATTATAGACTGCCAGTACACTCACTCCGATTAAGAACCAGGCTACAGTCTACATTAGTGTTTATTTTTTTTTTACTTTATTTTTTATTATTGTTCTATCTACGTGACGTTACGGAAAGAACCAAAGAATATCAGCAGCAATGGTGCAAGACAAGCAACCTCTTGACCGGTTTTGACATTGATTGTCTCATCAGCAATCAGGTTTACTTAAACGAATGCTGGTGGTTTGTATATGTATGTTGATCTTCCTTCGCACTGTAATAGCCAACTGTGCTAATCAGGGGTGCCTAGCTTGTTGGAGTGCGAAGGGCACTTGGATGCTACTATTGTGGATCCTTTACACATGTGCATGGTGATTGCATAATGTATTACCTTTGAAAACATGCAGTACATTCGTTTTGCATGCTTTAATGAAGGTTACTGTTTGTATGGGAAATAATAAGTATTTTTTTTTTAAACACGCTTTTATGAAATGATCTAGTAATGGCAGAACTCCACGACTCCAGTAAGTGGCCCCGAAGCTTGCCACATCGTAAGGGGCCGTGGCCATTTACAGCCAACGTCAGTTGAGCGTGGACAATTAGACCCAAACCGGAACATAACATAAAAAAGAATGTTTAAAAATATATATTTTTTATGATAGAATATAGTATTGTCATTAGTATGACATAAGTATACCAAGTTTGCAGTCGATACCACATTGGGAAGTGGGTTAAAATTGAGTTACAAGATTTGAGGATACAACAACGACAACAACAGACAGAGTGAGTTAAATGAAAGCGTGTAAAAAAGTAATATTCTGATGAACCTGTGTGTGTTTCTGCGTCCCTTCAGAGCGAACTTATTTCTAGTAAGGGATATCCGAATGTGGAGTACAAGGTGGAAACTGCAGATGGGTTTATCCTGAGTGTGAACAGAATCCCACGTGGACTGAAGGACAACACGGCAGGTATGTGTGAAAAAAGGATGACCCAAAATAATTGGGTAATCCAGAGTGGTCCTGGTCACACCACCCACTCGTGTACCGTGCTGGCCTTCATAAGTGCTCCTGAGCAGGGAACAAAAGGCAATATGGGGAAGATTTGTGTTTATTTTTTTTTATTTTCAAGTTTATTTTGCATAGCCAGATTTAAAACTCAAGAGATCAGGATTAGAGTTTCATTTGCAAAAGTTACCTGGGTCACAAATATGAGAAAGCAAAAACATGTACAACATCGAATCAAATATAAATCGGAGCATAAACAAGCCTGTTACAGAAGAAAGAAAAAGCAGTGCACAAACATAACATACATTTTAAAGAACATTTCAAGTCCAGTAACCAAACTTGGCTCGGACAGTAAAACTAATTTAGAGAAACTTAACATGTATTGGGGTGATTATTGCATCCGTGTGTAAACGGAAGACGAGGATGCGCGTCGGTGGACCGAGTGAGAGTGGTGTCTTGCTGCTGTGTGGGAACAGCAGTGCGTCGCGCCGTGCTGCTGCAGCACGGGCTGTTGGCTGGCGGAAGCAACTGGGTGTCCAACTTCGCCCACGACAGCCTGGGCTTCATCCTGGCCGATGCCGGCTACGACGTGTGGATCGGAAACAGCCGCGGGAACACCTGGTCGCACCACCACCGTACCCTGACGCCTGATCAGGAGGAGTTCTGGGCGTGGAGGTAATTGGAAATGTGGGGGGGGGGGGGGGGGGCGGGGGGTGTGTCTGTGTGGAAATTAGCGCATTGTCACGTAAAGGCAGTGTCCTGAACCATGATCGTGTCAATTAAGAAGGTGGAATGTGGTTGATAGGATGTCAAAATACTTTTATTTTTTATTTAGAAGGACAGCTTTGTGAAGTATGGGAAATTGCCTGCTTCTTTATTTTGTATTGTATATACTCCACAATTCTAATTTTGTGTTACGTATTGTATAGTTCTAAGTCACTTAATGTTGAAACTGCCCCAGAGTTTCCTTGTGTTGAACCAGTGCAGCTACAATTATGCATTTCTACTCAAATTTCTATGATCCACCAACCCAGTTAATGCTCTTCATGTTCTTTTGATGCTGTGTGACACACAACTTAAGTGGTTGTGTGGAAGCGTTTCAGCAATTTATGTTGCTCGAGCCATCGCTGTAAATATTTGCTTCGTCCGTTCTGTCCAACCAGCTACGATGAAATGGCCTCTTTGGATCTCCCTGCCGTGGTGGACTTCATCCTCAACGAGACCAAACAAGAGCGGTTGTTCTACGTGGGGCACTCCCAGGGAACCACCACTGGTGAGTCTCTGTTTTGGGTGACCCAGGTCGCTATTGCAAACGAGACTCATCCTGATCCCTTGGATTCTCACACCTGGCGGATAAAACAAAAACAATTTGAAACTTGACCACTTGTTGGATGTTGTAACTTTGTGAGCTGTAGTCGGTCTTCTCTTGCTGGTGAGGAAGTGGGGTACGTGGCGTCTCTCATTCATGAAAGCATCCTGTAATAATACAAATAGGCAGAAGTTGTGTGGTGTTGTGGTGTCATGTGATGGTGTAGTGTCATAGTGTAGTGGTATGGTGTGGTGCAGTGTAGTATAGTGGTGCACTGCCATCTGCTGGTCACGTTGCAGGTCTGCACCTGCAATGCCTGACAAGCACTGGCGGTTGCCCATCTATATACTAACTAGGCTCTAAGATGTGGCGAGATGAAGCACACTCAGGGTGCTTTGGTCGTGCTTATCTGTGTACTTGTTACAGAGTGAGAGATTCACATTCAGCTTGTGTGCCTTTGCAGCCCTGGCTGCTTTCTCTTCCAACCCTAAACTGGCGAAGAAGATCAAGCTCTTCATAGGGCTTGCGGCTGTGGTTAACGTCCACCACTCCACAAGCCCCATGGCTAAACTGGCTGACGTTCCGGATTGGCTCATCGAGGTAAATGTACAATGTTTAGAGTTTCATCCCTTGGGGAGGTGACATGATCCAGTGGTAGATGGTTTGCAGTTGGAGCCTGGAAGCTGCCCTGGTGTAACAACCAAAACAACACGATGCGCCGCCTGCTTCACAGTGGCCAGTTAAGATCCCCTGACTTCCTTCACAAGAGGAGGGCATTATGTGCCTGTGTCATCCACATTTTCCATATTTCACAGCATTTACCTGCAAATTATTCAATTGGAATCTACGTAGCAATCATAGAGCCTCCCTCTTGGGAAAGCTTGGCAGGATACTTCTGAAAAAGTCATGACACTCAGGCTTTCCTGGGTAATCAAGTGCAGTCGTAATAATAATAGTAGTTCTCGTGAATGTGTAATATTTCAATTCAAGTATTTTTTTTGTTTTTAGGCGATTTTTGGAAAAAAGGAGTTCCTGCCTCAAAATGACATTCTCAAATGGCTGTCGGCAGAAGTCTGTGACAAGGCAATCATCAAAGACTTGTGTGAAAATGTTTTCTTCGTCATTTGTGGTTTTAACGAGAAGAACATGAACGTGGTGAGTGGAGTAATTGTGGGTGCCGGGTGCCGTTTAATTTTGTGAAACGTTAAGCTTTGCAAAAAATGTTTAAATAAATCATTACGAAGCAACAAATCAGTACTGTACATGCGTAGTGTTGTACTCAAGGTTGAGCTGCGTTGATGCTTCCTGAGCATACCAAAAACAACGTGAAAAGAGAGACTGACGGCAAGAGACAAATGGAGTAAAGGAGAGGCAAAATGGAGAGAAGAAGGAAGGGCTATGGAGAGACGAACTACACTGCGTGCGTGTGCCCTACAAGCCAATTGCTCTAGGTGACGCTGGAGGGTGCACATTTTTTTTTTACAAAGTCTTAAACATGAGGCAAAAGCAAAACGTAAAACTTTGCTAACTCTAAAATGTTTAAACTCTTAAACACTTTAAACAACGAATAGAAGTAGCGAGATGGTTGTAACTCTGTGTAGGTCATTGCGCGGCAATCTGAGAACATTAATATGCTGCGTCATGTGTATGAGCGGAATTAGGGTGCCCCAAATAATCACTCTGAAATTGGTCAATGGCTGTTAAAACAATTAATATTCAATAGAATAAAACAAGAGGAAAATGTGCAAATACAGATTGTGGTTTTAGACTTGAGCTCTGTGGGCCACCATAGGCACATGACCACAGCCTATGCTTGGAAAGGAGAAGTACATTTCATGAGACTTGCTGTGACAAAAACAACAACCGCCACTAAGAGACAGATACAGAAAGACGAGACAGAGAGACAAGACAACAATGACGAGGAGATAAGACGGAGAGAAATAAGACAGACATGACTGGGAGACAGACTCTTATAGACTGAGACACAAAGATGCACAGAACCAATTACAGAGAGTCAGAGACAAAGTGAAAGCTACAGAGACACACAGACAGAGGGAGGCAAAAATAAGCCAGACAAAAAGGAGAATTTGTGAATTAGTCCCTCCCTATGTCGAGCTTTTTACAATGTTAAAAATGTGTTGGACTACATATTAGCACAGTTGCGGAGCACATCCCAATAGGCCAACATGTCAAATGGCCAGCAACTAATAACACAATCAAAGTTTTGATAGATGAGAGTGAACACATTGAATTGAGCAAGGTCATGAGAACTTGGCTAATGAGAGAATGGAAGGGAATCCAAAGCCAAGCTTAGAGAAGAATCTGTTCAGAGAAAGAAATGTCACCTGAGACATGAAGTGTGGGAGCTGGAGATGAGGTTGATTTCCTGTGTGCGGGGATGAGAGGATGCATTTTGCCCCAATCCCAGCGACTCGAGTTCGATTCCTGTTCACAGCTAACATTAGTGATGAATATCTGAACCGGTCCGGAATCTCCTCTGTCGACTCAGCTTAATGTTAGTACCTAGTTCGGTGTGTAAGCATCAGCACTGGGGAGACAGAGGCAGTTGGGCGTTGAGCTGGCCACCCACCCCCTCATGTGCCATTCCGGCGTTTATAGGCGCTCGCTATCAGTACTTGCCCAAAAGCCTGTGTAGCCTGCACGGGGGATACTTGGATGTCAGTCATCCTTGTGTGAGGAGAGGTGAGATCGTAGTTGGAAACTGAGGATTTCTAAGATTTTTTTTGAGTTTCACATAAAGTAACACATTTCATTTCAAGGGTATACAAATTTTGTCCAATATTTGTATAATAATGCTGATCTTTGTGGATATTTTTCACAGAGTCGAGTGCCAGTTTATACCTCTCACTGCCCAGCTGGAACCTCGATTCAGAACATGCTTCATTGGCGACAGGTTGGTATTTGGATTTTTGTTTGTTGCGGTTGCACCCGATTCAAGAGCCGAATGTGCTCACAGGGCTATACCTGATAAATGAAAAACTGAAAACTGGTCTGTATAGGACTGATTTCTGTCTTCAATGTAGCTCTGCACTCAGTGGTGGAAACCTCTTAGAACTACAGTCCATGTTCTCTGACATAACCATCACACACTCTCTCTCATTCTCACACTTACATTTCCTCTGAGGAAACATCGGAGTATAGGTATAGGAACCGTTCTGAAAATTGCTGGTATACACAGGTTTTGTGTTGTGGGAAGCGCTGGTATGGCGTACAGTAGTATATACCGGCCTATCTCCACCATTAGACATAGTGAAGTGTGTTTCCTGAGTAGGCTTCACTTTCATATGCAGGAATGCAGTGTTCCTGTGTGTATATAATTATGGCTTCCTCATAAAATACCACCTGGTGACATCTGGCAGCATTTCATTTTGCCTCATTATAAGCACTTTACAGCATAAGTGCTGAAATAATTCCAAAATAAAAAAATGTGTTGAACAGATACTGTATGTATGTTGAAATTCTTTTGCACCGTATGTAAATAAATCTTGACTTAAAGCTTTCATGACTGCAGGAATTCATATTCTTTGGGTCTTTCGGTAAAGTCATGTAGAACAAAACACATTTTTACAAAGACCCAAAGAATACGTATGTAACTAATCGTGCTAATCGGAGGTGGAGATGGACGTTGTCTGCTTATTTACTTCGTTAAAGCTCCACAATATTAAGCTTCAGAATACGTTATCTGCAATTACTTTTTTATACAAAAAGTTTTTCTTCCATTGCTGTTTTTTACTTACATTTTTTTTAATTTGAATATTGCTTCGAGAGTATTATGGGTGAGGATGGGCAGGTAGTGCACCTGTGTTCACAAAGATACATTGTGTGTGTGCGCACTTGAGCCATGCTGTAGATTTTAGTGAAAACTTTGTCTGAAATGTTTTGCATTTCTCCAGGCTGCAAGGTCGGGGCGCTTTCAGGCCTACGACTATGGGAGCTTGTGGCTGAACATGAAGCATTACAATCAGGTGCTGCACAGTGAAGCCTTTCCAATCTTCCTCGTTAAGTTCTTCGATCATATCTCTTTTTTCGTTTCCATTGGGTGTTATAGTTACTATGCCACTACTAAATCTGATGTGATATCTCTCTCTCTGTTTGTCTTCATATTTTCCATATATTTTAAGAAAACATTTTGTAATGTCGCTGTGAGTAGCCATAGAGCCTCGTCTTTTTTCGTACAAAACTCACTGAAGCTGTTCCGTTCTTGCGCTTGGCTTTTATTATTTCTTTTGTTGTAATTAAGGCCTTGTTTGTTAAGGCCTTGGATTTGAGAGGGGAAAATATTCCGTCCCCCTCATGGGAGTTCACATTTCACTTGGATGTGATTCGACATTTGCAGTCAAGCCCGACGATACACATCCCACTCACGTGTTCTATTTGGGAGTGGAGAGTGACAGCGGGTGATGCTACCACCATCGCCTCCACCCAAGTGACTTCATTCCCAGTGTTTGTACACTCCGATAGAACCAATCTCGACTGAGTCTCCTGGCTCTTGATTCCCATATGGGTGCTTGGCCTCTACAATAATGGAAGGATTGGCGAAAGGCCACTTAGAACTCCCACTGAATACTGACTATTTGCAAGTGGATTCAGTCAATCTGACCCCATTTATTTATGGTGATCCAAGGTTTGATGCAAAATAATTTACATTATGGAGATTATAAGTAACAAAATACATAAAGATACAATATGCCTCCTTCCAAAATCTGTTTGCACACCAAAAATAATATATTTTTTTTACAATGCGGATAGTTATATTCTTGGTTCTTTCGGTAAAGTCACGTAGAAGGGGAACAATAAAATAATACAAATATAAAACAATAAAATTCTCACAACGTTTCGACTGCAACACAAGCAATCATCATTAGGTGTGAAAACCACAACAAGAAAATTTGAAAAAAGTGGCAGTTATTTTTAACATTAGCACCACGGAGAGAGATTTGACAGTTTGTTCAGATGGACGAGTCCATCTATGTTCGGAAAAGAGGAGGGGGGAGACGAAAAAATAATGGATGTGGTCTGAAAGCCACCTTAAGCGTGATCAATCAATTAAGACCCGAAATGGTTTATCAAATCCTTCCAATGATTGCTAAGCCAGAATCCATCTTCTCGATTGAAATTGTCTCTGTGTTTGTATATGTGGATAGCCTCATGAACGAATCTCTCATGGTAGCCAGATGGCTTGCAAATAACTTCTGTCTTGGAGAAGTCAATGTCATGTGAACCTACTGAATTACAACAGTGATCTGCCACGGCCGAGGTGTTGGTCCTACCGTGTTTCAGGTCTGCTTTCTGTTCACGAATGCGGTCCGAGACATGTCGTTTGGTTTCTCCAATGTAACTACTACCACAGAGGCAACTTAGTTTGTAGACGCAAGGGTACTGTATGTCCGGAATCACATATTTTACAGACGGAACCAGATCACGGATTTTACGTAATGTGTTGAATCGGACCTGGATCTTGTGTTTATTCAAGATTTTGGAGATCTTTTTTGTGACCCCCGTAATGTAGGGTAAAGTGATGGTGTTGAAAGGCTCCTCAAGAGGGTCTTTCTTCATGGTTGGAGTGATAGCTTTGCGGATTGTGTAGTCGGAATAACCATTAGCCTTAAGAGCTTGGTGTACGTGCTTGAGTTCACTGGCTATATGTTCCTGGTCGGATATGCATTGGGCTCTATGGTGCAGAGTCTTGATGAGGGAATTCTTCTGGGATGGATGGTGGTGGGAATCCGGTTTCAGGTAACCATCCGTATGGGTAGCTTTCCTGTAGACAGAGTGGCTCATTGAACCATCAGGTCTCTTTTTTATTCGGACATCCAAAAAAGGTAGCTTGCCATCTTTTTCGACTTCCATGGTAAATCTGATGGCTAGGTGTATGGAATTGATGTGGTCGAAGAATTGGTCTAGAGCAGGCCGGCCATGTAGCAAGATGACAAAAGTGTCATCCACGTACCTCTTCCATAAGGTTGGGCGCAGAGTGGCAGTCTTGATGGTGTCAGTCTCAAATTTCTCCATGAAAATGTTGGCTACAACCGGAGATAGGGGGGAGCCCATTGGGGTGACCTCAGTTTGTTTGTAGAAAGTTCCATTCCAAGTGAAGTATGTATTGGTTAAGCAGTGTCTTACCAGGGAGGGTACCTCAGTGTTTAGTCCTTGATGAACAAAGTCTTCAATGATTGCGATGGTGTCAGGTACAGGAACTTTGAATAAGGAAACGACACCAAAACTGACAAGCAAGTCGTCTGGGGACAGGGAAATACCCTTGATTGTCGATACCAGGTGAGTAGAATTTTGTACCGCAGAGGTGGTTTTTCCAGTGAAAGGCCGCAGGATTTCAGACAGAAAACGAGCCAGTTTGTAGGTGGGGAAGTTGATAGTAGAGACGATGGGATGAAGGGGTGTATCTACTTTATGTATTTTTGGTAATCTTGGTGGCCTGGCAGCAGAAGGTTTCAACGAGAACTGTTTGGTTTGATCAATTAATGCGGTTGAATCAGAAATGATTTTGTTGGTTTATATGACGAGGCTGTTGGTGGGATCTCTTTTTATTTTTGTATAGCTGCCATCGTTGAGTAATTCTTGAATTTTGTTGTTATATTCTATTTTATCCATTATGACAGTGGCATTGCCCTTGTCGGCTGAGAGGATTACAATGTCATCTCTCTTTTTAAATTTATATAATTCAAAACGCTCATCTTTGCTGAGGTTGCTAGCTGGCATCTTAGCGTTTTTGAGGGTTGCAGCGATTTCAGATCTTGCTACGTCTGCAGCGATGTGACCCAGGCCCTTGAGAGCCACGTCTGCTTGGGCAATGATATCATTAACTGGTATGTGTTTAGGTGTGACTGCAAAGTTTATCCCTTTAGCTAAAACGGATTTCAGACCATCGGAAATAGAACCGTTACTGCGATTAATTACGACTTTGTTAACGTCTAGCTTTTTGGTGTGTGGGTCCGGTCTTTTGTTTGAGAGGAGGTTAAATTTGGAAATCAGGTTATCCTTACATTTGGTCGACATAGTGGCAGCTGAAGAGACAGTCATATTGTCTACATGTTCCCAATCCGATGTAGACATTGTTGCCGTCAATGATAAGTGTGATTTGTAGAGTGTCTTGTCTAACTGATCTAGTTCGGTGCGTATAAGTTTAATTTTCTCTGAGATAAGAGCTAAGCTAGTTCTGGAAAGAATTCGTTTCGCATTAGAAGAAGTTACAGCAGCAGAGGTCAGTGTAAATGCGATTGGTATTACCCCAGAGTCGCGGCATCTCTTCAGAAAGGTGAGAGACTCGATCAGATGAGCCTTCTTATCCCGGAGTTTGTTGAAGGATGACATTTTTTTCACCTGGCCACATGGCCGGCCTGCTCTAGACCAATTCTTCGACCACATCAATTCCATACACCGAGCCATCAGATTTACCATGGAAGTCGAAAAAGATGGCAAGCTACCTTTTTTGGATGTCCTAATAAAAAAGAGACCTGATGGTTCAATGAGCCACTCTGTCTACAGGAAAGCTACCCATACAGATGCTTACCTGAAACCGGATTCCCACCACCATCCGTCCCAGAAGAATTCCCTCATCAAGATTCTGCACCATAGATGCGGATAGTTCTCAGTAGAACAGTCATGTCACAGCTCAATAGTATATGGAGAGACAATGGCATTACCATAAACACCAAGAAGAGGCTTGTCAAAGCTCTGGTATTCCCTGTTGCCCTATATGCGAGTCATGGATGCCTAGATTGAATGAGTGAAAGAGGATCAGCGCATTTGAGATGTGCTGGAGAAGAATGCAATGTATACCATGGACAGCCAAAATATCAAACATGTCCGTCCCGAGAGAAATTGGCCCCACTCTTCCACTCAGGGCCTTATTCATGAAGCATAAATGTTGATTTGGACACGTTATGAGGACCTCTGGACTAGAATAATTGGTCTTGCTTGAGAATGGAAAAGGTAGTAGGGGTAGAGGTCGACCTACGTGGAGGTGGATGGACGACATCAATAACACCACTGGCCTTGCACTAACCCAGCTACGAGAGGCCGCGAGAGACAGGTATGGATGGCGGAGTCTGGTCGTGAATGTCACTAGAGGTCGTACTCGACGTGATGGCACAAGGTGACAAGGTGAAGGTGGCTTACCCTAAAGTAGCTGTCAGAGGTGACTGAGCCCCTCACTCACCTCCCCCACCCCGTGTTGATGTTTGCCAGGCAACGCCTCCTGCGTACAACATTAGCGCCATGACGGTGCCCACGGCCCTGTGGTCGGGCGGACAAGACTGGCTGGCCGATCCCACCGACACCGCCGCTCTCCTCGCCAAGATCCCCAACTTGGTGCAGCACAAGGTCCTGAAGGACTGGGAGCACCTGGACTTCATCTGGGGCATGGATGCCCCGAAGCGCCTCTTCCCCGACATGCTTAAGCTAATGGAGAAGTATAAGTACACATGAGAAACCAACCCAGTGAAAAGCAAGGGGTGAGTTGAGTACGATATTAATTCGCCAATTGCTAGTAGCCGATCGTGCATGTTAAATTGGCCTTTTTTACATACATTTTCAAGGAATAGGTTTATAGAGCCCAATAGCATGAGCAGCCTGGGTGGTTTGACTTAACAATTTGGGACATTTTATCCGTGAGAGGATCTCACCATTACTCACGCTGTTTTTAAATTAGATTTTAGTCGCAAATAGATACCGAAATAAAATTACTTATTGTGAATTACATGTGCATAATTACACAATTGGTGCCTTAAAGTTTGCATGAAAAAAAACTATTTTAAACTGCACGAGTATAGCTGTTAAATTGCGTAAATGTAACTTGTGTTTTTCCAGCTTAATCACCCTCAAAGGCATCGCCATTGTCACCTTAGTGATTAGCACTGTTTACTTCGCCCATTGCCACCATCATAATCACTCCTCACACCCCGCCACTATCGTCACCCATATTACAATCACTGCTGTCATCAACACCACCATCAACATCGTCGCCATCAACACCATCATCACTATCACCGCAACAACCAAACACATTACTGCAGAGTACTACCATTGTTCACAACATCCTCAACCTGAAAATGTCATTACCATCCCTACCCACAGCCATCATCACGCTCATCATGAATGCAGCACCACTGGTAGCATTATCGCCATTTGCTCCTGTTTCTACTGATTTGGCGAAATAGCAGATCATTATAATATTGGAATCAGGCCCACATCACATAATTATCAATCAAGTCTTCATAATTAGTCCCATTACTGAGAAACTGTGTCCTTATATTCAAAAGTATTACGTGTAACCCATTGAGAGTTCAAGAGAGCAGGAGAGTCCTCATTGCGCGAGTGATCTGGGTCACCAAAGTTAAAAAAAATATTTAGATCTAAGCAAAGCAATGAAGCAAATACGGATCAGAGCAAAAACAATCATGTTGCAAAAGGAATCGAAAAACATGCTGTGTAAAATAAAAAAAATACATTTTATAAAAACCATTCACAGTAACAGTATAAAACGTTTCAGTACAATTAAGTTGCAGAAACATAAATATAGATTTCAGGTGATTTTTGCCCTCGTATGTAAACGGACGAGGATATGTATTAAATAAATCCATGATTGTCTCAGCATAACAACTTTAATACCTCCCATAGTGTGGCTTAAATTACCCGTGATATTTTACTGGAACAAAGTGGAACATGCAAAATTATTATAGAAATACGTAAACCAGACGTTCACTCACCCGGTTTTCCCACCGTTGACCTGGGCTTTTGGAGGCACAAAATATACATTAAAGGAATTGCCAATGACTTAAATCAAGGCTTTAAATACAGGGGACCTCCAATGCGGTTTGTGCTGGCAATGATCCCAATAATTACGTAATTACGGGTATATAATAAAGTAGAAAAATTGTGCTTTTTCTTACTTTTTAAATCTGCGATGCAGCTTTTGTGTTTGTTGCTGATTGATTATACTTTCTTCATCTAAAATTTTACTTTTTAACATGTCTTTATTTTACCAGGTAAGGTCCACTAAGCTATATAGTTATTTTTCAGAAGTGCCCTGGCCACAAATTATAGCTCAACGAAGTGGCTTATCCATATGGAAATGTATTGTAGCCAAATACTCGAAACGCATGTTTCTATATGTGAAAAATCCACGCGACCACAGGGAGAACATACAAACTCCTAATATACAGGCATCACATTCGAGATGGAACCTGACGCTTGGAAATCCAGTCATAGGTTGTTACATGGCTGTTTCCTTGTAAACTATGACTGGAAGAGCTTAACTTGCACAGACTGTACATGGACACCGTCGTGCACAGACCTGGTCACCTAAGTTTGATCCCTCGTCTTGGGCCTCCCCTAGCTCATTCTTAAATGAGGATCTGTGAATTTTCATAATAAGTACTGGGGAGATGTAGGCAGCTGAGTATAATGATGGCCACTCCCCGCCCCCTCGCGTGCCACACCAGATTTAATATATGCTCGCTAAAATACTTACCTTAGGAGTGCGTGTGGCTCTGTGGGGACCTGTGTGTTCGCACGCACCACCTGGAACATTGTCCACGTGGTGACCTTTTTTGTTTCGCAATGCAAGAGGAAATGTCTGATTTTGGCATGCTGTAGTGATGTACACGTCTCCTTTGTTCACGCAACAATAAATACCATTTTACGTACAGCTTTTTTTTATCGCAATGTAATTGCTTCGAATTTGAGAGGCAAAGAACTCGGAAAAAACGTGAAAGGAGGCACAGTGAATTCAGTGATTGAAATGTACATGCAGAAGTGCTGATATTAAACCCGCGCATCCTACAGCACATGTTCACTTGCACGGAAATGGCCAGATGTGCGAGATAGTGTTTGCTTTGTCTGAATTGATTAAAATTACTCGGGGGGTGAATTGTATTGCACATGTGTTGAATATTGTTTTCAATTTAATATTTCACAGTATTATTTAACCATTATCACTCAATTTACCAACAGACAAATCCATGTTTCTGAATAGAACCACTGAAAGCAGGACAGGAGGTCGTGTTGAAATGGCCGAATTGCTTCAAATTATTTAAATTGTACCAATGCTATTAAACAATGGGTATGACACCTGCTCATCCACCTGCTTGGAAAAAATATTTGTGTTTCTTTATTCCGAATGATATTCCAATTGTGCTATTATATTTGTCAAGAAACAGACATTCCCCCGTCCGAAACGTATTCAGCAGAGCGTCATATCGAGTCAGGTAACGATGCTTGCTGTGGTATCATGAGCGTTCAATGACAAACTGAAAACGTATTCATCCGAGATAGAAAATGCCAAAGTATGTGATGAATGAATGCGGTACCCGTGGAAGCCGTGCCGGCCGAGTGATCTGAAATGGACTTTAGTACACTCGGCCATGTGAACTCTCCCAAGCCCAAATGTGCTGTTGTAACGAATAGGCTCCAGCTTCTTGCTGTAACGGATTCCATGAAACTCGGTGAGTTCCAATCTTCGCAAAATATTATAATTGAGGTCACATCTTATTCAGGATGTTTTTTTTTTTCCGTTGTGATCCGTGTAGACCAGTGGTAGTAGAGTTACCACGAACCAATTGTGCAAGATAAATTAATCGGGACATTACTTTTTTGCATTATGCAGCAAGTCTCCGTTTTAATTGACAAATCTCACTTCCAAATTTGTTATCGATCATCAGCCATGATGTGTCCACTGCTGGATGAAGGCCTACCCACGTAATTACCACCTCAAGCTGTCGCGGTGCAACAATTTAACTACTGCATGAGCTGATTTCATCGCTCCATCTCCGTGGTGGCTACTTTGTGCGTGCTCCCCCCTCTGTGACAATGGCCATCGTATCATCCCTGTCCTACCCAAGCCCACTTAACAGTCAACGTGTCAATCCAACATTTATAATGCATCATATTCAGCACAAATCTGAGACGGAAGTACGGATGGCACTGAGTAAATGAAACGAAATGTGAGGAGCAGAAGAGAAAATAAATGTTTTTACTCCGGTCTTTAAAAAAATCACCGACTGTTTCACGGCTGACTCGACTTCAGTTGGCAGAGACCATTCCAGGCCACCAGGACTGCTGATGAGAAACTCCGTTCTGTCATCTTAAGCCGAGTGGATTTAACACAGCAACAAGCAGGTCCGTGCCAGATGACCATAAATTTCGTGATGGTAAATATGGGTGAATGGCATCGCTCAGGTAAGGTTAGATTATCCTCTGCAATGGTGACCAGCGCAGAGCGCCTTCACAAGGAGCGAGAGATCAATTTTGATTTAAAGCTTTCGTGACTGCAGGGATTCACATTCTTGGTTCTTTCGGTAAAGTCACGTAGAAGGGAAACAATAACATATAAAACAATACCATTCTCACGACTGCAATATAAGCAATCATCATCAGGTGTGAAAACCACATTTTCCAATTTTTTTCTTGTGGTTTTCACACCTGATGATGATTGCTTTTGTTACAGTCGAAACGTCGTGAGAATGTTATTGTTTTATATTTGTATTTTATTGTTTCCCTTCTACGTGACTTTACCGAAAGAACCAAGAATATAAGGAGCGAGAGGTGGAGCCAGGCAAACGACTCTGGCGAGGCGAGCGTTTTGGAGACGTTTGGAGAAGCTTGCCGAGGCCATCGTTGACTCCGTGCAGCAAGGGAGTTAGTCGTCGAGGCGTGTGGCAATTAAGACTGCACGCTGTGGTATTTTCGACATCCTTGTCGATGCAATTGCAGGTGCGACGTAGAACTCAGGTGTGGTACGAAGTGCATGACCGGATAAACTCGCTGATACGGATTCATTTGTTAAAGAGTTGGCCAAGAAAAATAGTGATTTGCATTGTTGGAATTACATTTTTTTTTTAAAGAGAAACACATAGTGCTAGCCAAGAGCGGGAATGCGAGGAGGGCCCAGCGTGGAGATGGAGCGATGAATCAGCTCGCGTGCAAGATGCTCGGAGGATTTCAGTTTATTTTGTGGAACCAGGTGAGGATCGTCACGTCCCCAGACCGGCAGAAAAAGCGGCGGTTTCCAGTGGCTGTTCCATTATGTAAATTCATTCAGTTAAATGTATTTTTTTTTAGGAAAAACTCACACCCACGAAAGAGGGCATCGAAATATTTTACACTATAAATTAGCCCTACTTATAAAATCAAGAGAAACAAAAATATCTAAATGAGGGGACTGACTCAAGGAAAAAGATAAAATAAAAATGAGTCTTGCAGTTTCCTGAACTGTTGCTCGGAGACAATGAGGGCCGGCGGAAGAGTTCCAGATCTTAGGCGCCACACTAGAAGGCCTCATCAGCGCAAGGTACATTTACCAGACCTCTGGGGGGTCAGCCAGGACTGCAGGTACTGAGGACCAAGGCCGTTTTGAGCTTTGTAAGTCATCACAGTTAACTTACATTGTATGTGATAGCTGACTGGTAGCCAGTGCAGATCATGGAAGATTGGTTTTAGGTGTCTATTTTTTATGTACCCATGAATACGAGGAGACATGACAACATGAAGCACAACTTCAAGTATAATTGTTGATTATTTGAAAATCACATTGGATACATGTAAATTTGAGAGTCCATAAATGAACGGGATTTGACAATACAGTTATTACAATAGAAGAATTAAAGTGCACATTGAATGTTGCTCTTTACTCGCTGCAGGTTAACGAGTCATCAGAATTAGACAAACACGCTCTGAAACACAATACATGAGCACTTATTCGCATGGATGCACAAAAACACTGAAGTAGTTACGTGTAGTGCTTGTGCTCCGCAAAGAAGTGTAAACGGCCTTGAAAAAAGTAACTTTCAACTAAAGAAAAGCTGATTTAAAGCTTTCGTGACTGCAGGGATTCATATTCTTGGTTCTTTCGGTAAAGTCACGTAGAAGGGAAACAATAAAGAACAATATAAAATACAATTCTCACGACGTTTCGACTCAACACAAGCAATCATCATCAGGTGACTTTACCGAAAGAACCAAGAATATTAACAACAGCTGTTTCAAGCCTTTCGGTTAAAATATAAATGTACTGCATCTTGCTGTAATTATCCTGAAAAGCTTATTTCACAGAAAAGTTACAAAGTGAGTTCCTGCTCAAATAAGCCAGCAGTGGACATTCTACAATCCTATGGCAGAGTCGAGTCTATCCATAGGGCAACCACTGTTGACTTCCCCCTTAAAGTGGTACTCGCTTTATCGACCCCGGAGGGAAAGATGGGCCAAATTAACCCATAACCAGGAGTTGAACTCGCAACCTTCCTGACTGCTGCGGACCACTCGCTCTACTGCTCAACCACCCGTGTCAGCTTTGGTCATATACTTTAAAACATTCCGGGTTGTGCACGAGCTAGCGACTTTCTCAGTGTTGGTACCAAACTCCTGGCAGGGATGTCGTGGCTCGCAGCCGGCACTGCCGATTCACAGGGCCTTAGCAGACTCTAACGAGACACACGTCGTACGCAAAGAGCTCGGGGCAGGGCCGGCCGCCCCCTCTCGATGGCCGCAGGACCGTGCGGGACATCCGCTGGAGACCGAAGCCGCAGGAGCGGCTGCAGGGCCCCGCGGGAGACAGCGGAGATACGGCACAGTCCCCCTTGCTCCCCGCCGGGACCCCGTCCGCGTCTCTATCCCCGTCCGCCGCCTTGGCGCGCTTTGCGACGGCGGCCCCCCGGGCGCTCGCTTCTGCCGGTCTCCTCGGCGGGGGTTTGACATTCGGCGCGGGCATCGCTGTGAACGCTGAAGGGCTCAGCCGAAGCGACTGCTGCAGCTCTGGGTCATCGTCAGGGTCGGAAATCTTCGTTTCCGAAGTGAGTGTGGACCAAACTACTGATGGCCTTGTGGGCTCCCCCTGTGTTGGTTCAAGATCTGATTTTAAAAATATAACACAAAGCACAGTTAATTACAATAATACGATGTTTTCAAACACACCTCAAGTTCAACACGTACTATACGTTATCGCAGCCACAAGTAATGACAGTGCGGTTTACTCGCCTGGGCCAAGTGTTGAGCGTTAAATTCTCTCAAGCTTTCGCAACGCACTACTACCGCAGACAACTTCATCACAACGTAAACACAATTTCCTACGTGAAACTGCTTAATGAGAGAAGAGGTTTCTTGTAATTTTTTGCACCACAAGTGAGTTCATGGAGAATAATTGGAAAGTGACAAGACCAGGATGGGAACATGGTCATACTTGAGATCACGTTACTGACGAGATGGCTCGTACTGTTGTGGCAACAAGCCGACAGCCATTGGAACAGATAAAATAGTCACTCTCTCCCCATAATCGTATTTACTGGTTAAACTTGGGCGGCAGGGCGACAGTGGCAACACTTGTGCCACACAGCAAGAATGACCTGGATTGGTTGCCTTTCTGTGCAGAGTAACAGTGAGGGAAAAAGTATTTGATCCCCTGCTGATTTTGTACGTTTGCCCACTGACAAAGAAATTATCAGTCTATAATTTTAATCGTAGGTTTATTTGAACAGTGAGAGACAGAATAACGACAACAAAATCCAGAAAAACGCATGTCAAAAATGTCATAAATTGATTTGCATTTTAATGAGGGAAATAAGTATTTAACCCCCTCTCAATCAGAAAGATTTCTGGCTCCCAGGTATCTTTTATACAGGTAACGAGCTGAGATTAGGAGCACACTCTTAAAGGGAGTGCTTCTAATCTCAGCTTGTTACCTGTATAAAAGACACCTGTCCACAGAGGCAATCAATCAGATTCCAAACTCTCCACCATGGCCAAGACCAAAGAGCTCTCCAAGGATGTCAGGGACAAGATTGTAGACCTACACAAGGCTGGAATGGGCTACAAGACCATTGTCAAGCAGCTTGGTGAGAAGGTGACAACAGTTGGTGCGATTATTTGCAAATGGAAGAAACACAAAATAACTGTCAATCTCCCTCGGCCTGGGGCTCCATGCAAGATCTCACCTCGTGGAGTTGCAATGATCATGAGAATGGTGAGGAATCAGCCGAGAACTACACGGGAGGATCTTGTCAATGATCTCAAGGCACCTGGGACCATAGTCACCAAGAAAACAATTGGTAACACACTACGCCGTGAAGGACTGAAATCCTGTAGCGTCCGCAAGGTCCCCCTGCTCAAGAAAGCACATATACATGCCCGTCTGAAGTTTGCCAATGAACATTGGCAAATTTCAGGACAACTGGGTGAAAGTGTTGTGGTCAGATGAGACCAAAATGGAGCTCTTTGGCATCAACTCAACTCGCCGTGTTTGGAGGAGGAGGAATGCTGCCTATGACCCCAAGAACACCATCCCCACCGTCAAACATGGAGGTAGAAACATTATGCTTTGGGGGTGTTTTTCTGCTAAGGGGACAGGACAACTTCACCGCATCAAAGGGACGATGGACGGGGCCATGTACCGTCAAATCTTGGGTGAGAACCTCCTTCCCTCAGCCAGGGCATTGAAAATGGGTCGTGGATGGGTATTCCAGCATGACAATGACCCAAAACACACGGCCAAGGCAACAAAGGAGTGGCTCAAGAAGAAGCACATTAAGGTCCTGGAGTGGCCTAGCCAGTCTCCAGACCTTAATCCCATAGAAAATCTGTGGAGGGAGCTGAAGGTTCGAGTTGCCAAACGTCAGCCTCAAAACCTTAATGACTTGGAGAAGATCTGCAAAGAGGAGTGGTACAAAATCCCTCCTGAGATGTGTCCAAACCTGGTGGCCAACTACAAGAAACATCTGACCTCTGTGATTGCCAACAAGGGTTTTGCCACCAAGTACTAAGTCATGTTTTGCAGAGGGGTCAAATACTTATTTCCCTCATTAAAATGCAAATCAATTCATAACATTTTTGACATGCGTTTTTCTGGATTTTTTTGTCGTTATTCTGTCTCTCACTGTTCAAATAAACCTACCATTAAAATTATAGACTGATCATTTCTTTGTCAGTGGGCAAACGTACAAAATCAGCAGGGGATCAAATACTTTTTTCCCTCACTGTATGTTCTCCCCCTATTCTGCATGGGTTTCCTCTGGGTTCTCCAATTTTCTCCCATAGCTAAAAATATGAAATGTATTTTAATTGGCTAAACATCCCAACGTAGCGGGACCATCCTGATAGAGTGTATTTGGATCAATGTGGCTTTCCTGGGCAATTAAGTACGTGAATTAAAATTGCTATAAGTACAAGGCATTGGAGAATCACAAATACCACTCACCGATTCTGAAGCCGTGGTCAAAATCTACATGTGGCCTTTGAGTTTGTAAAACAGGAATCCTCAAATTAGTGCCCGCTGAATGCGTGGTCTTCTCAGGTCTGGGCACATAGGCAGTTTTTTTTTCCGCAGCCATCGCAGATGACGACGTTGGCTTCATATCAGTAGTGGCCATCTCTCTGTTTCCAAGCACTGGGGCCGTACTGTTAGGTGTATTCGCGCTCTCGGGCTCCGCCGTTTCAATTGCAGCAGAGGCAACCGATGAGTCGCCTGTATCTGCCACCGTAGCGGTCTCAACGCACGCACGACCCCCTGCACAGGTCACAGGGTTGTGGGTGACCGAAGCACAGGCACGATCCACGCACGACTCCTCCATGTGCAACTCGGGGCAGGGTCGGCCACCGTTGGCAGGCGTCTGAATGACGAAACGCGTGCTGCGCTTGACCCCTATACCGCACGTCCGGCTGCAGAACCCCCAAGCCGCCCAGTCCGACACTTCGCAGTCCAGGGGAGTTCCAGCAGCCTCCTCTCTCTGGCCCGAATCTGAAATGAGACACAGTGTAGAAACCGCACCACGATTCATATCAAATCGAATTTGTGTGCAACCATACCCGACCTCACTATTTGGCAGTGTTTACAAATGAGGTCATCCGGCCAGGTGGCTTGGCAGTAGACTGAGCCACTTGCAATCGGATGGTTAAGATTTTAAATCCTGGCTGGGGGGTTGATTCAGTAAATCTTCCCTTCTTGGGTCGATAAAATGAGTTCCACTTGTGAGGAAGTCAACAGTGGTTGTTCTATGGATAGATTACCCCCATGTTAGCAAAATGGAATTTCCACCACTGGCCCAGGGAATAAGATATCACCTTAACTTTGAAAAGCTGCATTCAATAATTTAAGATAATTACGATTGTTACCTTAACAAAAATTAAGTTTTATGCTTTTGTAGTGTGTACAGATACAAGGATCACTTTGGATGACGGTCTTGATAGCGTTGAAGAGTTGGCTGGCGATGCCGTGAGGATGCTTGCTGGAGTTTGGTTGTATTGAGTTTTCATTTGGAGTCATCTCGTCCATCGTCCCGTTTTCATTCTGTTCCTGTTTCTGCAAGTCTGACGTCGAGTCCTTTGAATCTGTAACATTATATAACAGTCAAAAACACATGGGCTTAACAACAATAACGCCCACAGGTAGTACACAGTGAAGTTTGCATTTGCCCGATGCTCTTGAATCGCCAGATTTAGATTGCCCGGACGGGTGCTTGCCTGCTCCTGCGAGACAAATGTTGGCTGGCGCGTGAGCGCGACTGTGTGTGCGGGACCTTGTTCAGGTGAGAAAGGGTGTGGGAGTGAATGAAGAGGAACTGGTGACATAGGCCTCTTTTTCAGGATCCTCCTGAAAAATAGTCCTACGACTCAGTGTAGCGCTCGTGGATAAATAAGTACAAATAAATAAGTGACGTATTTTTCCAAAATAGTAAATATGTTATTTTCAAGCCGGCATTTAATTCATAATAGCGGCTGGTTTGGAAGCGGTCTACTCGAGTGCAGGGAGATCCTGCTCACTCCCTGTGGTTACGCTGCTCATTGCTATCGGAGGCTCGCAAGTGGCAAAGCGTTTTCCATCTTCCCCAAGATGAATCTCGTATCCATGGGCAATTGTGGGTAATAAGATTTCCCCCCTCAAAATGTTAGGAGTGTTAAATAAAACGCTGCACAGGCAGCACAAAAGCACGAAAGAGTTCACAGTTATGCATGCGGTTTTCACATGAACTCAAAAAGTATAAAAAATCCAGAAATGATCAATGTGAACCGTGGTCTGCAGGTTGAAGGTGGAACTCGAGGAAGCCGATCCTGGGCAGCGCTTGGAGGCGCGGGTAATAGAAGGAGTTAGCGGGATGCGACGGCCTCTGCGCCGTGATGAGCGAGATGGGCTCCTGCGGCTCGCTCGCGTAGTTGGGCGACGAGAACGCGAAGCCACTGTCCGTGCCACCGTCCCACGGCTGGAGATCGTGGCTCACCAACGGTGCCCAGCCTCCGGCATTGGAGCACAGGTCGAGAGAGCTGACTCCCACAAACCAGTCCGGACTCGGGATGAGACGTACAACTATGGACACCTGCAGGATTGGCCCCGGTGAGTTTATTATAATTTGCAGTCGGCGCCCCTTCATACCCTCCATATGAAATGTTCATCTGCCAACTTAAACAAATGTAAACAAAACAATGTGCATTTGCCCAAGGTCAGAAAGTGTCGGGTTTTGAACTAGTTACCAGCATAGACCCAACTTTACTCTACACGTACCAAATTTGAGCTCTCGAACCTCTCTAGACATGTTCATAATTTGTCGCTCACTCATGACCGGATTTTTTTAACCACCACATTATGTTCACAACCTGAGTCGGGCTGCCACCCTTTCCAGCACAGACTAAACCAGCGCATATTTCTCAGTCAGCCTGGGTCTGTATCCAAAACTGCGCAGTATCCTGTTTTCAATCTCAACACAATGCCGCCATGCTTCCTTTTGGTTTGGTGTCGGTTTATTTTGGTACGGGTAAAACCCACTGGGCAATGTCATTTTCGATGGGGATCTGGTTACACAATATAAACCTGGTTACAGCAAAAAAACATGAACAAAAACAACCCAAAATCAACTGTACATGGTCAAGTTCCGAATGACAAGGTCATGCATCAACGTGGACAACCAGCATAAACAATACGACAAGGCACAATAAAATACACTGTACAAAGAATACCACCATGTCTTGGTATATATCAATTCATGCCACCTGAACACAGACGCCAATTCCCAAACAAGTGACAACCCTCAACCTGTCACGTACCATGGGATGTTGGGCATCGATATGGAAAGTCGTGGTGGAATTCCCCACTCCAGTTCGCAGCGCAGGAATGGAGAACCAGTTGAGCACAGGGCTGGATCCTGCAGAGGTACCCGCACCAGCAGAACCAGAGTCTGCCCTGCTCCTCAAGGCCTCCACTTGGCTGCGCACGAGTCTGTAGTCTCCTTGCTCCACAAACGTCTTGAAGGCTGGCGACGAGAAGGCGCCCTCGGACCACAGGCTGAACGTGCTGCTGTGGACTACACCTGCGCGCCAGCCACGTACATAGACGGTGAATGTGGCCAGCGATAATGGGTGTCTTGTGAATGCGTGCGACATACATTTCAACGCATACCTCGCTGTAATTTTATATAACTCACTCTGGTATAGATCTTGTCACATGTTGTGTGTATGAATATTGCTTGACATAAGGTGGTTTATGCTGGTTCAGCCATTTGATTGTGATGATTACACTATTTCGCTTGTTTTCCCATAAAAGCCTTTCGGAGTCAACTCTTTTTCATGAGGTTCTTACCAAGTTTTTTTTGCAGTGGGGGGTGATGTTGCTTTATGCAATCTCAACTGAGTAGTTAAACATTGGGCTGTTTAGCCAAAACTAATTACATTGTTGTTTGAGCTATGGGAGGAAACCAGGGAACCAGGAGGAAAACCATGCACAACAGGGGTTGAACATACGAACTCTACACAGAAAGGTGCCCAAGCAGGGTATCTAAACCATTGTGACGCGATAGTAATGAGTTGTTACTACTGCGTCACAATGATGTGCGATTCCACTCGGGCTTCTACGTTCGTTGCGCGTAGACTGTTCGGAGTTTTTGTTTTTCTCCATATGTTTCGCAGCTCCACTGTGTATTGCGACATATGAGAGGTCGCTCTTGTCATCCGATCCATGGCAACCAATGCGGATGCGATGTTTGTGCCGTCCTGTTGAATGCACGCTGGCGCGACACGCCGGGGTCCCTCTCCCTTTATTTTTCAGAGCGATTATCGTGCAACAGATGTGAGTGTAATTGATACCCGCGGAGTTTTGGATATTGCCGTCAGTCCTGAGGTCACATGATGGCCGATCCACGGAGACTCGTGCGTTTATGTGATGTGTGCACTCGCATGTTCTCCTTTATGGGATCCGTCAGCTGTACTCTGTTGCCGTGTGCTTTATTCTCGATCTGAACTTATATTTGTCTGATATAAGGCAGTGTTGGTGACAACTGATGTTTTCCATTATTGGCTCATCCATTGTTGGAAAGAAAGAACGAGCCCAAAACCCCTCACTCCTGGCTGCTTGTAGTTGTACTGTCATTCCATGACTCTGTGTTAAGCCAGCAAAGAACCACCTCAGCCCATATCACCACCTCGCCTCATCCACACACCCCACACACACCTCTTCCCGAGCACAGACCACATACCGTTGCCATGTGTGCCGATCACTAACGGCGGCCACGGATTTCACGCAGCTGTGTAACCATAACCTAGCCACCTTTCTCAATGTAGGCGAAACCGGGACATATTTCTGAGTCAGCCTCGGTCTATTACCAAAACTGTGCAACGGACTGCGGTAATAACAGTTCAACACAATACCCGTAACCAGGTCTCAGTACGAATCGGCTCCTGCCGCCCAAAGACAAGATGCCCTTTCTTAAATTGTCCCGTGTCGAACACGTTATAAACGGTATCAATGTGTCGTTAAAAGAGCGGCGAAGTTGCCGTGGGCGCGGTGAGCTCACCGATCAGCGGAGACCACTGCGCAGGCGGCCGGGTGAGCGGGTATTGCTTGGGGAAGGTTCGCGCGTTCCACTCGGCGTGGAACGCGAGGGCGTAGCGCGCGGGCCCAGCGCGGCACTGGCCACCGCCGTCACCGCGCGCGCGCCCCACCCCGCCCAGCGCCCACAGCAGAGCCGGCAGCAGCAGCAGAGGCAGCAGCGCCGTGCCCAGCGGCATTTCACTCGGCCTCTCTCGCAGAGTGCGAGCCTCGACGGCGGCCGCCGCACGTGAACGGAGGGGAGATGGAGCGCGAGGCCGCCGCTCCCCAGCACGTGACCCCCCCCCCCCCAGCACGTGACCCCCGAGCCGGCCCCCGCTCCGGCAGCGCGGCACCACCGCCGGATTGGCTTGTCGCACGCGCTGGGGGGGGGGGGGTGGCGACTCACGGCCACATCTTGTGTTTCCCCTTCAGCGTGCGGATTGTGGAATGTAACACATTGTTTTTATGTTGGTGATGCGGTGTTTTGTTCGCACACAAGAATCCTCTCTCTCTCGTGCTGCTCGGGTTTGAGGATGACGCTGACGATCGCCAGCGGCTCTACTCGGATCTTCATGCAGCTCTGCAGGCCAGGACCTACGCGGGGAACGATTGTGTGGGCCGCAGTGGATGCAGTGCCACAAGTCTTGGTGAATAATACAGCATTGGTGAATAATACAGCATTGGTGAATAATACAGCATTGGTGAATAATACAGCATTGGTGGAATAAAAATGTGACTATCCTGGTTACGTCACCTCTCACCTGGTTACACCAAGAAACTTGATTTCCCATACCTGGGGCAATAATCCATGAGCATGGGAGCCAAGAGCAGGTCAATAGAGGCGTTAGAATGGCAAAGGCAGGCTTCACCAGCCAGCAGAAACTGCACAGCAGCACAAACTGCTGGCCAACCAAGGGCTGAGCATGAGAACTCTGATTATAACGCCTGTGTGTGGTTGAGGGGACTGCACCGATGCGAGACTTGGACACTGAAAAAGAAAACAATCCGAAGGATGGAGGAGCTTTAGATCTGGTGACAACGGTGAGAATAGGAAAAGTGAAATGATGCAACTAAGTGTTCATATTATTGCTTACCAAATAATAATGTTGGATTTAGGCAAAGAAAGATGGCATATTGCGGACACAAATGGATGGAATCCATATTTCCAGAAATGTAAACCTAGTCAAACATATGTAGTCACATAGGCAAATCCAGGTCAAACTCCTGATGCAATCATTGAGGTCTTCCTCGAAACAAATTTATTTTGTCAGGAGCCCCGGTGAAACTGCGAACCATTCAGGGAGGTCATTTCAGCTCTTACATGCACTGTGATCTCTGTTATTGGCTGAATGTGAAGATCTGCACTTCACCATACCATCGCCAGACAGGTGTGACATGGTGGAGAGATACAAGCAAAGTTTAGCGGCAACATTATCTGAACTATATTCTTGGTTCTTTCGGGATAACAATATTGTTTTATATTTTTATTATTTTATTGTTTCCCTTCTACGTGACTTACCGAAAGAACCGAAGAAGGGAACCAATAAAAGAATAACAATATAAAACAATAAAAGAATAAAAATATAAAACAATAGTTTTATATTTTTTATATAAAACAATAGTTTTATATTTTTTAAAACAATAGTTTTATATTTTTATTCTTTTATTGTTTCTCTTCTACGTGACTTTACCAAAAGAACCAAGAATATGAATCCTTGCAGTCACGAAAGCTTTAAATCAAAATGATCTGAACTGAACTGTCAACAGTTGTCATGGCCAAGGGTCTATTCTCCCACTAAGCAGGACCCTTTTCCCCTGTAATTTATATGTACGTTCAGAAATCAGCCGACCTATCCCTGGGTCCTTGCAGCCCAATGGGGTAGAAAGCCAGCTATGGTGCTCTGCAACAGCACAGGGTAGGATTGCCACCTGCCCGGATTTGACCCGGAGAGTCCGGAAATTCAAATCTGTGTTGGGGTGGCAGCAGGAATTGATTTCAACTGCAGTTTTGTTAGATCTAAACTGACTGAGAAATGCGTCCGGGTTTGGGATTTGGAAAAAGTAAGTAATCATAATTTTATTTCATTCATCAGAAACTATTTTTACTTGGCGGATTGTGTTATGACTGCATAAATGTTCATGGTTTGGGCCTAGGTTGAGCCTAAACTACGAACACACACACAGACCACACGACACGTCACTTGGCTTTTACATACCTAGCAATTCCTTATCATTGCCCTACCTTATTACAGACCAAATCAAACCTCATTGGTCACCCCGTGCCCTAACAACTATCAATGTTCATCCTACAAAGTCTCATCACAAGGGAGAAACACAAATATTGTTTTTTTGCCCGTATTGAAACGGCTGTACGCCGTATGGACCTGAAAACGAAATTACCCTGTACAAGAACACGCGTAAACCGTATGGGTTGACACGAATGCTTAAATGTTAAGCTCCACTGTGGTGGTGTGAACGCGTTTCATGCGAAGCGCGTCCTGTGGGAGCCCTGCCTCAATCATTGGTAGCCCCAGGTAATGTCATACAGGGGCCGTCAACACAACTCAAATCAGCACCAACGGCGGATTGCCTCGCGTTAAACGCTCCTCTGAATGTGGCAATCGCGCAGAGACGGCGTGAATACACCACCTGCATTTGGCATATCACCTCGCCTATGTGTACTGTGTAGCTCTTTGCTACATTGTTGTTCATAATTTTTGGTTTCATATAACCGTATTTTGTATTACCGGTAGCATAACCGGTAACCGAATGGTACAAATAAAACCTGGGAGAAATCGGTTACAGATTTTCCACGCATATAGAAATAGCTATCATTAATAAGTAATATTAAAAAAAAAACATTTTAAAAAACACGCTTTCATGAAATGTACCGTACTAGTAATGGCAAAACTCCACGACTCCAGTAAGTGACCCCGAAGCTTGCCACAACGTAAGCGACCGTGGTGATTTACAGCCAACGTGAGTTGAGCGTGGACAATTAGAGCCAAGCCAAAACATAACATGTAAAAAATGTTTAAAAATATATATTTTTTTAACAAAAACGACAAAAACGTCGTGAGAGTTTTATTGTTTTATATATTTTATTATTTTATTGTTTCCCTTCAACGTGACTTTACCGAAAGAACCAAGAATATGAATCACTGCAGTCACGAAAGCTTTAAATCAAAATAAATATATTTTTTTTTATGATACAATATAGTACTGTCATCAGTATGACATAAGTAGACCAAGTTTTCAGTCGATACCACATTGGGAAGTGGGTTAAAATTGAGTTACAAGATTTGAGGATACAACAACAACAACAGACAGAGTGAGTTAATAAAAAGCGTGCACAAAAAATAGCTTTTATTTACCGAGACACTAAATGAGCTCCTGCAGTGGAGCAATGCTAATCACGCCTGACCTGCCGCTCAGAAGCAGCCTGTTTCAACTCCATGGCAGCTGATACAGGAAATCTTCTAACCCCCCCCCCATCCACTGCCTCTGTCCACCCAGCAGGTCGCGTGCGGTGGGGTAAAGTGTGGGGACACTCACCTCTTACAAGACGCCTGGTCAGCGTGGAAGAGTAGGCCAAATGCCCTCCATATTCTTTGGTCCTTTCGGTAAAGTCACGTAGGTGAAAAAATAAATAATAAATAAACATGCACAAAAATAACCCTAGAAAAATATAATAAATAAATCACGACGTTTCGATTGCAACACAAGCAATCATCATCAGGTGTGATAACCACAGCAAATACATTTTACTGAAATCTGGAACAAATGCCCTCCCCCTACAGCGCCCCCTAGTGGGATGCCCTTCCGACAACTAGCTTGACCGAGCAAATTGCAGGGCTAAACTAACGTTTACACTTTTTCCAAGTTTTAACGGGGAAACGATGGCAAAAACACGGACCACGCCGTGACTGAGACTGCCGTGACTGAGACTGCCGTGCGTTCACTGCGAACGTTCCGATTGTGAAAACGGTTACCGGTTTATCATCGTTGTAAGCACGGTCTCGCCGCGAGGCTGCTGCTGCTGCTGCCTGCCATGTCGTGGCTGCGGTTCCTGGAGAGATTAAGATTTGCACGACCACGCTGTATAAAAACTAAATAATATTTTAAAACTACTTTTTTTAAAAACACGCTTTCATTAAATGTCCCGTACCCGTAATGGCAAAACTCCACGACTCCAGGAAGTGGCCCCGAAGCTTGCCACAACGTAAGGGGACCGTGGCCAATTAGACCCAAGCCGAAACATAACATATAAAAAAGATGGTTTAAAAATATTTATTTTTATTTTTAATGATAGAATATAGTATTGTCAGTAAGACATAAGTATACCAAGTTTGCAGTCGATACCACATTGGGAAGTGGGTTAAAATTTAGTTATAATATTTGAGTTAAATAAAATCGTGTAAAATAAAAACGGGACCTTTTTGCCGGAATCAAAGTATGAAAAAATAAGAATATCTTATTACCCATTCTGGCAATAAAACAGGTGATTAAGATGTTCAAACGCCAAACATAAACATTTTGCAAGGAATTAGGTCTGCATTAACCCCACACACGGCAGTATTTGTTGTGAACATGCCAGAAAAGGTCAAATCTATTCTTGTTTTCTCATACTTTGATACTTGAAAAAAAGGTCCCGTTTTGTAGCTGCCCACGCCGAGCTAAAAATGCTCCGAAAGTGGCATTGTCTTTGTACTGTTCAACCTTTTTGCCGTCCTCTGATTACTGTTGTTACGTTTGTTTTTATAGCTTTATTTTGGTGATTCGAAAACATATTGTTAATCTAGATTGTCTCATGGTTGTTGTTGGCTTGCACCACATTGTGCTTTTTACACACAGCGTTTTAATACGTTTTTGTGTGGAATATTTGCTGGTTTATTCCAGGATGTTTTCTGTTGCGCGTCGTCGCTTTAAGATGTTCTCTTTTCAAATTTTGTTTGTTGCGGTTGCACCCGACTTAAGAGCCACATGGCTCACAGGGTCATACCTAATAAATTAAACTTGAACTTGACACTGGTAGGCCAATCAGTTTAAAAAAAAAACAATGTATCATTTTTATCAGAACATGTTTTTTTTGCATGTTCACCACAAAGTACGTGTGATTCCTTGCGAATTTTATCTATTTGGTGTTTGAAAAATCTTAACACCCATTTTATTGCCAGAAAGGATAAAACATTGTTATTTGAAACAAAAAAAATAAAATTGTCGGGTTTTTGTCGAAATGCTGCTCCTCATCGTTTGATATCCAACTTTTGCAAGACGAGTGCATCCACCATTAAATAAGTAATATTTAAAAA